AGCACACACTCTAGGCACAGATTCACACGCACGTGTGTGTGCACGTGTGCGTGTGTCTGTGTGATGTAGGAGGGAAGAAGATAAATAAGAAACAACTTGCCTCTCTGCTTCTACCTTTGCACCGGGCCCTCTCCACTTTTGCCTTCAGTCTATTCTTCACTCAGCCAACACAGTGACGCTGCTGAAATCACATCTACCCTCTAGGAACTCTCATCTCACAGCAAAAGGCAAGGTCCTTGCAGGGCCCCCAAATCAGATCCCAGAATGTGGCCTCTCCTCTCTGGCCTTATCTCCCTCTTCCTGGTCACCCACTTACTCTGCTGCAGCCACAGGGGGCCGCTGGCTGTCCTCGCCACACCCCAGCTGCACATTCCCACCTGGAGGCCTTACCACTTGCTGGTTTTTGCCTGGAAGACCCCTTCCGAAACAGGAAGCCTTTCCTCAGCTGCTCTGCCTTGCCAAGGTCCACGTATTGAAAACTGCAACCTCCCCGCCCTAACTTCACTCTCATCTCCTTCCTACTTTGTCTCTTAGTGTCAATCACCATCCGTCACACTGAGGACTTCACGCAAGCCTCTTGTCTTCTCTCTGACCCTCCTGTTGGAGCACGAGCTCCTGGGGGCAGGGATCCTGTGTGCTGTGGCCTCTGCTGCATCTCTGGCATCAAAGACCGTGCCAATCACTTCACAAATAAATGGATGAATGGATGAGGGAATGGGTAAATGACAGATTTATTCGAGCCACCACTGTTACAGATAAGGAGGTAAACATGTTTAAAATACTATCTGTAGAAAACGTGTAGGAATCATTTTGCATACGGGGCATAAATACAAAGTGTGAACCGCCTTCTCTGCCTCCTCTAGCAAACAAACATATTTCATCTTCAAAATATTTATTATGTGGGAAATTTAGAAAAAGGAATAAAATTAAAGAGAATGAGATGAGTCACCTGAATACCAATTTTTGTTTTTAAGAAGAGGAAAAGATTTTTTTACCAATATAAACCTCATAGCATGAGGCAAGCCTTAAGCAACCTATGAAAACACAGAGCCCCAGATAAGTCAAAATCAAGATGAATGTCGCTCCCATTGCTTATTACAAACCCAACTATAAAAATCAATATGAACATAAACCTCCCACAGGGGAGTCCTTAGCAATCTTCTCCGTGCTTTCAATAGGAATTGCTGCCCAGGTATTCTAACCTGTGCTCCTAGCTCATGCAACTTTAAGAGGTCCCCAGCCCAGGCTGAGGTGCACTTTTGAAACCTGCCGGGGAAGGGTTTAACCCAAACAGTGCTGCACAGTGGTAGCTCCCTGTCGCTTAGCCAGGGAGAAGGCAGAGTGCAGGAGCACAAGCAGTCACTGGGGTCAGAAAAGAGGCCGGTGAGGAATCACCTGTCACTCCTCTAGCCCTGCCCCTCCAGAAGCACACTTGAATCAGCAGCCCCGGCTGTGTCCTTGCAAGGCTCTAACCCCCTTGACCAGGTCCCCTTCCCTGGCCCACTGCCTGCTGCTCACCCCTGCTCCTCGGTTCTTCCCGTGCTTGCGAACTCAGGAGGCTGCCTGAACCGCCTGAGATTCTGGTATCCCATCCACAGGTTAGAGATGAGTTGGGAAATGGCCCTGACTCAATGCGACCCCAGCACCTACCCTGCACCCCCTTCACTGGCTTGTGCGGAGGGCAGGATGGATATGACTGTGAATTACGCATGGGTCCCTGGGCAAGCTGCCTCTCTCGGGCTCCTCATCTGTGAAATGAGGATAGCTGGACTCATCCGAGGCCTGCTCAGCATTCTGAAGTAGCTGAACTTTTTTGGAAATAACCTTGTATAGGGAAGTCCATCTGGTGAATAGGTTAAGGACAGATGGAGATGCTCAGGCTGGAGTGGACTTGGAAGAGCACAAGCCTCGTCTCCCTGTGCCCCTCCAAGGAGCCTGGGATTCTCAACAGCACAGCTGGAAATCTGGAGCATATGGTGGACAAACGCCCTTTCAGCTACAAGATTTCATGGTTCAGTCATCACCGGTAACAACTCCCCTTTAAGAAGAGAGAGCACTGGCTTCATGCCTGTAATCCCAGCACTTTGGGAGGCCGAGGTAGGTAGATCATGAGGTCAGAAGTTTGAGACCAGCCTAGCCAACACAGTGAAACCCCATCTCTACTAAAAATACAAAAATTAGCTGGGCATGGTGGCATGCACCTATAGTACCAGCTACTCAGGAGGCTGAGGCAAGACCATTGCTTGAACCCAGGAGGCAGAGGTTGCAGTGAGCTGATATCATGCCACTGCACTCTAGCCTGATGACAGAATGAGACTCTGTCTCAAAAGAAGAAGAAGAAGAGGAGGAGGAGGAAGAGAAAGAAGACGACGATGACAGACCACTTCTGGCATTGCTCTCCCCTTTCCAACAGCAGGAAAAGTCAGACCTCAGGTGATCCACCCGCCTTGGCCTCCCAAAGTGCTGGGATTACAGGCATGAGCCACAGCGCCCGGCCAAATTGGAATTTTTCGAATTGGAAAATAGTTGCAATGCTGCACTCTCACAGCAGAGAACCTGAGGGGGGATAATCTCTTTATTAGTGAGGTTTATCTAAAGATAGATGTATTCATCTTTCCCCCACACATACAACCCCCCCATCTGAATTGTGGAAAAGGCCTAAACTGGATGGGCCAAGATCATCCTGGTGACAGGTGTGTCCCTGACCTCCTACACAAATCGATGAATGTCTCATTGGTGAACTTCTAGATTCTGATTGATCCTTAAGAGGAAGGTGTGATTACTAGACCTGTGTGCAAGAAAGACCCCCAGGAAGGCTGGACACAAATGCTGAGTGTGTCTGGGCACTGTGGAAATGCTGTCTTATCTATGCAAGAGGGATGACACTTTGGGGGCTAAAGCTAACACAGAGGTGGAACCCAAGAGTGGGTTTTTTCTAAATAGTAGCACTGCACGCAAACCCTAAGTCAGGAAGAACTGCCTACAGGTACAGCCCCCAATTCCCCTCCTCCCTTTTCTCTCAACTTTAGTCAGATTTTCACTAGTGCTCCTCCACTGACAACTGCTGTCAGGGTCACGAGTGACCTCCAGGATCCAAAATCAATGATCACGTCTCAGTTCTCGTCTTACTGGAATTAACCAGCATCATGCAATGCGGCTGGCCTCTGTCGCACTGTGAAGCCCATCTTCACTCACCTCGCAGGGAGCACCTTCTCCCGTTCTGTTCAGTCTACTTCACTGGCCACTCCTCCTTAGTCCTCTCGGCTGTTTGCTCACCTTGTGGGCTGCAGAAGTCAGTGCTCACTCAGCAGTCATCAGTGTCAAGGCCTTAACTATTTCATTTCCCTATGAAACTCCAGCTTGCACACACAATTGCCCTCTCTAGCACTCCCTTCCATGACTCAACTCTAACAACCCCCCTGAGCTCCCATACTCTCCGTCCAAAGTAGCCCAACACCCAGCCCTGAGTCTCCGCATCTCAGTTAATGGCTAGTCCATCCTTCTAAGTGCTCAGGACCAAACCTTAGCAAGCCTTTCTCTCAGGGTCCACATCCCATCCAGATCCTCACTACGCCACTACTTTTACTTCCCCTACCATTTTCCACCTGCTCCAACCGCCATCAGCACCTGCTTAATGATTCTCACGACCTCCTCCCTGGTCTTCTTGCTTTCACTGTTGCCCCTGCCAGGGTCTGTTTTCAACAAATGGCTGGAGCAGTCTTGCTAGACTCTGAGTTTCAGCCTGGTACTCTCCAGCTCAAAAGCACCGGTGGCTTCACGGCTCCCTCACTGTAAGAGCCAGCGTCTCTAGCAATAGCCCACGAGGTCCTACGTGCTCTGGCCACCACCACCACCTGCTCCTCCAGCCACATGGGCTTCCCATCTGCATCACGTGCCAAGGACATTTCCCAGGGATCTATAAGGCTTGCCTTGCCCCGCTCTGCCCCCTTTGGGTCTTTGCTCAAATTATCACCTTAGCGAGGCCTTCCCACTGGCCAGCTCATCTGAAAGCTCAACCGCCCTCTCCCTGGTCGTCCCCGCACTCCTACCTGCCTTATGTTTCTCTACAACACTTACCGTCCTTCAGCTTACCACACAATCGATTACGTTTACTTATGTGTTTCGTTTCCCCATGAGAAAGGAGGAGAACGGAAACCTCCTAAGAACAGATCTTTTTTGGGCTGCTTTGTTTACTCAAATAACCACAGCTCCTAAGGCAATGTCACGCATCTAGTAGGTTCTCAATAAAAATGTGCTGAGTGAATGAAAGGTGCTCTTATCTCATGGGGTTTTGGAAGGGCTTCTAAAGAGCCATGTACTCTCTGAAACTCAAAGAAAAATTCTGAGTTAGATTCTCTTTTTCTAGGAAGAGAATCACAGCCTTAGAGCCTCGAAGAGATTTGTGACTCAAAAAAAGTTGAAGAACCAGTAACACAGATGCTTGAATTTAACAAGGATTATTATAGGTTTCTTCAAACAATGAATACACTTCATTCACAGCTTCTTGCTAAAATTAAGAATGTGTGATCCACCAGTGGCGTGATTATACTATGTTCTTGCTTCAGATTTCTAGCATAGAGTCAAAAGATTTGTCTTGGGAATTTTTATGAGCAGATTTTTGAATAGGCAGCATGATTATCCTCATTGTCTGTGAGCCAGAACACTGGTGAGAATGAATAAAAATGTGTTTTCACAGATTTGGAGGCCAGCTACTATATTCACGCAATGCTGACAAAAAAAAAAAAAAAATGGCATGAGAAGATCCAGGTGGGAAGGCCCAGGTAGGCGGCTGTCAGGCCCAGAGTCCATCACCTTGGCCCCACTGCGAAATTACCAGATCTTGTCCCAAAATAACAAAACCCATCCCCTTTACCACCCACGCTCTAATTCCAAAACCAGTTAAAAACAAAAAATACTCCACACACAAAATTATCAGTCATCTACCAGGTATGGAAATGTCACTGTGTAAGAGCCAAACTCCAACATAAGACATGGCTTACCTTCCCCTATCATAGAGACCCCCACGGACATGCCCATGAACTTGCTTTTGGTCCATACGTGAGTGTTGACGCACAGTCTCTTCTCCTTGCACTCACAGTAGAAGCAGGAGATGGGTGGGTGATGAGACACTTGCTCAGCCACAAACCTTAGTTTGTAGCTTTTGGAAGGGTCATCGGCCGTCGGGTGTTCATGACAGCCAGCAGGAGAGTGGGGAGCAGTCCTCTTAGGTTTGACCTTGTCCTTGGGAACCTCCCAGGAGCAGTGAAACGTCTCGCCTATGATGGGGTTGTAGGGCTTCTTGGCCAACGCGCCCTTGCGGCCCTCATGAAAGGCTGTGAGATAATACTCCACGAAGCAGATGACTCTCTCCTCTGGTGTGGCCCCAGCGGTGATGGCCAGCAGTAGGTCTGGGTGTGCCATAAAATCTGCATACATCTCCAGCAAAGACCGTTTCTCCAGGATAAAGGTGGGAAGCACCACCTGCGTTTGGAAGGACACAAAGACAGAAATCTTTGGGATTACATGGAAAAGCTGAAAAGAAAAAGAAAAGGCTGCAACCACCGTCACGCAAATTCACAACATCCCCAGCCAGGGAACAGTCTGTTTTGACTTGTGCACAAATGACAAATCAAGGGAAACGATATGGAAGAAAGAAGTGGCAGTGAAACCCCCGCAAGCCCAGCTCTGTGGACAAGGCAGTTCTGAGCGATCTTCCTCCTTGCTTACCTGGACTAACGCAGTAATCTCTGCCCGTCTCCACTGCCATCTCTCTCCTAACTCTCCATTATTTAGAGACATGAAGAAAATGGCCTGGAAGGGTTTTCTGTATTCCGCCTGCCATCAGGCACGACCAAGGCGGGGCACTCAGTGTGTTCCCACAAACACGGAGACTGGGGTTTGTGGTGCCGTTTCATATGGGCCCAGGTAGACCAGGACCCACCACCGATGACAGTGTGCACTGGGAGACGCTGTTAGAAGAATGGTGTACAAGCCCCATGACAGTGTGCACTGGGAGACGCTGTTAGAAGAATGGTGTACAAGCCCCATGACAGTGTGCACTGGGAGACGCTGTTAGAAGAATGGTGTACAAGCCCCATGACAGTGTGCACTGGGAGACGCTGTTAGAAGAATGGTGTACAAGCCCCACCATGACCGAGGAAGGGTAGGACTGTGGAAAGGGCCCAGCTCCGGGAGGCGGCAGGCCCATCAGCAGGCAAATGTCCACAGAGCTGCTGCAGAGAAGAGCGGCCATGGCAATCCGTCCACGGAGATCGATCCTCGAGGTTGGTCCAGAAGAAACCAGTGGACGTTACGAAGTAGGCTGGCACTTAACAGGCAGAACCTGCTGCTAAAGGACTGGCAGACTGGCTGCCCCTAGCCTTGCTACTGGCACCATCCCTGAAGACAGACCTTGTGGAGGCCGGGAGAACTCTGGTAGAAGACAAGACAGAGACTCCTCATTGATCCAAAGTAGATCCAGATGGTCACTCAGGGGCTCCACAACCCCAAATGCCTGTAACCCAAGGATTACTCAGTCGTTTGCTTTAAGTGATCTCACTTAAAGCAACTGAAGGGTATTTTGAAACTGGGAAGCCCATAACTCATTACTGCTACTGCTGTTTAAAGAAGAGAAAGTCCATTTTCACTGTCCTAGTGTGATCTTAAAATAACTGAGTTATCGAGTATTTGGTTTTTTGTTTGTCTTTTTTCGGTTTTGAGCCAGTCATCATCTCCTGTCGCCCAGGTGGGAGTGGGTGGTGCAGTCCGGCTCACCACAACCTCCACGTCCTGGGTTCAAGCCACTCTCCTGCCTCATCCTCCCGAGTAGCTGGGACTACAGGCACATGCCACCACACCTGGCTAATTTTTTTTTTATTTTAGTAGACACAGGGTCTCACCATGTTGCCCAGGCTGGTCATGAACTCCTGAACTCAAGCAATCTACCCACTTCAGCCTTCCAAAGAGTTACCGGGTATTAATAATCCACCCACTTGGCTGCAACACACAGCCAGCCTTAACCTGGAGCCTCTCATCCTATTCCTCCGAACATGGACCCGCAGGATTTTGAAGCTGGAAAGCCCGCCCAGACCCGCTGGGACATGCAGGGAACACGCCAGGTTCCAGCGAGTTGACCAATACCACAGGGCTGGTTGACAATCTCTCTTTACATAACTAATTCTGTCCTTCCTTTCTGTAGCCCCGAACTCCCATGAAAACATTTGGGAGGATGTATGATCATGGACCGCAAGTATCACACAGGCTCACAGATCCCTGCAAATGATTGGGCTACAGTGGAAGGGAGGAGAGAGGCTGCTGTGCTTTGAGCTTGTCCCCTCCCAAATGCAGGTTGAAATCTGAACCCCAGTGTGGCAGCATTAGGAGGTGGGGACCAGTAGAAGGTGTGGAGGTTATAGGAGCAGATCCTTAGGAAGAGATGAACGTCTTCCTTCAGGAGAGAGTTCTCACTCTCTCAGGACTGAACTAGGGACCGCAAAAGCATGCTGTTCTAGAAGCAACTCTGACTTCCTAGACCCTTGTGCTCACCATGTGATCTCTGCACACACCCGCTTCCTCTTCTGCCGTGTTTTGACCCAGCACAGGGCCCTCACCAGCTGCAACACTATGCTCTTCAACTTCCCAGCCTGCGAAATGGTGAGTTAAATAAATGGATTTTTCTTGTAACGACTTAGTCTCAGCTGGGCACAGTGGCTCATGTCTGTAATCCCAGCACTTTGGGAGGCCGAGGCAGGCAGATCACCTGAGGTCGGGAGTTTGAGACCAGCCTGACCAACATGGAGACACCTCATCTCTAATAAAAATACAAAATTAGCCAGGCATGGTGATGCATGCCTGTAATCCCAGCTACTTGGAAGGCTGAGGCAGGAAAATCGCTTGAACCCAGGAAGCGGAGGTTGCAATGAGCCAAGATCACGCCATTGCACTCCAGCCTGGGCAACAACAGTGAAACTCCATCTCAAAGAAGAAAAAAAAAAAAAAAACAATGAAAAAACCCTATTCAGTCTCATTCTGTCACAGCAACACTAAAGGGACTAATACAGATGTCCAGAGAGAGACAGGCAGACATGACAACAGCAAAGTGGAGAAATTTCAGAGGAAACCAGAAAAAGCCCCGTCTGCTAGAGGTAAAGCTTGGTGGATCTCTTTTAATGCTTTTCTATCTTTCATTTAAAAACTGTGTCAGGAGAAAATGTCCCAGTGCTAAATAAAAAAGCAGCCAGATGTAAAATTGAACATGTAATACAATCCAAGTATCATAAAAACACTCAAGACGTGAACATGTCTGTCTGGGGGATAGAACTGAGCGATTTTACACTTTTTTTTTCTGAGTCTCTTTCTGCTTTGCTTTTATAACACACGGGAAGAAGAAACATTATTTTAAAACACAACTATGCAAATCAATGGAGGTTTCCTGATTTTCTTTAATCTACAACTTGACAAAATTGAGAATCTGGCTGCCCTAGGACCTCATCTGGCCAAGAAACGCGTTGAGCATGAAATAGCCTTCAGATGCCACTTCTATTACTTCTGATGCCTTTTCTGTGGGGACGGGTCATCAATCAGCAGCATCACTGTGCTCTCTGGGGGCTGCTGTTCCAATGAGGCTTCAGTGGGGTCAGGCTGCTGTGTTCTCCCACGACATAGCTGTCCAATGGCAGAGTAAATGACTCCCAGATACTCACCACACTTCCCTCTTCTGCCCCCGAATTACCCGAGGGCTCCTCTATGAACTCCACCCAGACAAGGTGGCACAGTTGGGGAACATGGATTTCAGCAGCCTGGAAATCCCTTAATGAGGCGAAATCAATGACAAAGGACAGACTGCCACAAATGTCTGCATCTTCATACCTTCCCCAAGTGACTGCATCTGCTGTTCTCTCCCTTCCCCGGTCCACGGGGCCCTCTGATCAGAAGGCAAGCCAGGGAAGGGGAAGGACAGAAATAGACACTGCAGTCCTCAGCTCTGACGGGTATAACTTCAAAGATAATTTCATGACCTTGGCTCATGCCTTTTCCCCACTCTATAGCAATAAAGCTTCTAGGGCAGTAATTCCACCTCTGGACAGGAATCCTCATGTTTATACCCAAGATTAAAGTTAACAAGGAACATCAGCTATGATACTTACTCTCTAGTTACATACTTTTGAAAAGAACAAGAATTTAAGATGTTTCCCCTAATTTAGTCAGCATTTCTGAACTCAGAAGCTGAAGATTAAAAAAATAGTAAGTAAATAAATAAGAAAAAGAACTCCACTTGGAGCCCTGAGTCATGGAATGTCAGAACCAAAAAGCAGCCTTCAAGATGATTTGGTGCACTGCCCTGGTCCCATAGGTGAGAGCATGATGCCGTGGCCGCCCAGTGGCTGAGCCAGGAGGGAACCTCAAGCTTCCGGCAGCCACCTCTGAGTCTCTGCCATTACCTGATGATACATACTGATTATCTGTTTCTGGTTAACAAGATCAACTTCTCGGCCAGGTGTGGTGGCTCACACCTGTAATCCCAGCACTTTGGGAGGCCGAGGTGGGTGGATCACAAGGTTAAGGGATCGAGACCATCCTGGCCAACATGGTGAAACTCCATCTCTACTAAAAATTTAAAAAATTAGCTGGACATGGTGGCATATGCCTGTAATCCCAGCTACTTGGGAGGCTGAGGCAGGAGAACTGCTTGAACCCAGGAGGTGGAGGTGCCCGTGAGCTGAGAATGTGCCATTGCACTCCAGCCTGGGCAACAAGAGCGAAACTCAGTCTCAAAAAAAAAAAAAAATTCTTTCAGTAGACAAGGGAGATAGCTAGGATGTCTGGGTCACCCCATCTGCTGTCATGGATTAAGAAGAGGGGGAAGGGCCAGGCATGGTGGCTCATGCCTGTAATCCCAACACTCTGGGAGGCTGAGGTAGGAGGATCACTTGAGGCCAAGAGTTTGAGACTAGCCTGGGCAACACAGTGAGAACCCATCACTACAAAAAAAACAATAATTTAAAAAATTTTTAAAAGAAGTGGGTGAAGGAAAAAGAATGGGGAAGAGAGTAGAACATGAGCCCCACCGCCTCAGGCCGTTTCACTCTTACCAACATGGCAAGAAAATCTACCATTCCAAACATCATTAATATCATACACGGGAGGGAGATCGTTTCAGTGAAGTGAGGGTAAGGCAGGGGTGGCTCCCAACCTGGCCGTCCAGCCTCCTGCAACACCTCCAGCTCTCCTCCACGCCACGGCCAGAGTCACCTTGCTAAAATCTCTGTAAGAGATAAAGTCCAACCTGGTCCCCACCTCCCTCTGTCTGCTCCCCTCCCTCCCTGCACAAAACTCCCCTCACATACACACACTTCCTTTTTCTGCCCTTTCTCCTCCCTTGTCTAGGTGACAAAAAGCTCATCAGCTCAAGTAGTTCTCTCCTCTGTGAAGCTTTTTTTTTGTTCCGCGTGCAAGGCTAAAGCAACAAAGCCCCTTTCCTG